AAAAAAAAAAAGCAATCTCACAAACATTGAACTAATCGCAAAATTGCAAAATCTATGCAAAACACCTAACCATTACAAAAAGGAACAGCTTCTACTTAAATCTGCAATCGGCAGTAATCAATTGAAGGCGCGTACCTGCATACAAATTGATTGTTCCCAAATTCCTCAGTAATAAAACGAAGAAAAAATGGAACCCTTCGCAAGCGTAAGCTTCTAGTCGGTACTCTTTGCGGGCCTGAGCACGGGCCACGGATTTGCTGAGTTCCGAGCAGGAGAAAGAGAGATTGTCCGGCGGCCCTCAGGCTGCTTTGAAGTTTGCAGTGGATCCGTATGAGGTAAGGCTCACAGCTCAGTCTCTGGTTTTGACTATTTATATCTACCGGAGGTGATTCTTGGCAACGAAGGAATTGGGAATGTATTGGGCGGTTATAGTAATGCTCGCCGGCACATGTTAATATGTCGACCGCTTATGTGGCATGTACACAGGTGATGTATTTTCTTGAACATATTAACATCACTAATGTGTGCATGCCAAATAAGCGGTGGGCATAAACATGTGCCCACCGTGGGTATGAGAGCATTACTCGGTTACCTTATTTTTCATTTTTTTCAATTAACGGTTTCTTATATTTTTTTTAAGATTATTTCAATAAAAACAAATAATAGTTGAATGACCTCCTAGCGACCTGGAGTACCTCCTCAACATGCCGACAGTAATGGCGGATGAACACATGGACCATCCTAAATAAATTGCCTAGACTGAAATTTCTTTGACGAGTATATTAGTACTGTTTTAGTGTTTTACATAATAAGCTAGGGAAATTTTGATGTAAATGAGATTAGATAGGGCAAAATAAGATGACTCCTAGTTCTGTTTAATATGACCGAATCAAACATCTCATCAATTATTAAATGCCATAACAACACACTTTATATTTTCTCAATAATCATTAAATAATGACGTAAAAATCATTATATTCATCGGAAAATTCAAGTTAAATTCTTTCACCCCTTTTCATCTTCTTTGTCAGTCCCTCACATAAAATTTGTTTCTTTGCACTCCCTAATTTTAACTTCTCTTTCCCAACCACTCCCACATATATATAGTAATATTATTATTTTTCATTTATTTTGGGTGAAACATAAAAAACTCTCTCTTCATTAAGCTCTATCTCTCTCTTCGTTTCTGTTCTCTATCTCTTCATCGTCGTCTCTCCTTTTCTCTCTAATCGTCTCTCCTCTATAAAAATTCCATCGTCGATCATCTCTTTCTCTATGAAAACTGCAAAATGTAAGAAGAAAAGAAAAGAAAAAAAAAAACATCGGGACTCTCTCAGATCCCCAATTGAAAAATTTAATCCCAAATCAAGATCCCCAAATTCTTCAAAGATCTAATCCCAACTCAATTGCTTGTTCGTAGAGCTTAATTATGTAACCAAGGTGCAAGATCTTGAGGAGGCTCCAAAACAATTCCAGTTCGGCTGGTCGGAGGATGACGAGGCCTGCGAGGCGGAGACGGGACTCGAGAACGGCGAGCGGGCTGTGATGAACGACGAGCCTGTTTCGAAACGAGGATTAGATTGTCGAGGAAGCCAAGGATTCGGGAGCTCGGTCAGTTGGTGTGATGCTTTCATGAAGGAAATCACAAAGACCACGACTAGGTCAGTGACCCTTAATCTTTATAAGGGGTCGGTTAGTGTTGCGGGCCGAGAAAGCCCGTATAGTCTTTATAGGGAGGATATTTCGTCATTTGAGACTGGGGAGATTTACAATCAGTCTGATGCGGCTTGTTTTATCCGCCTTTACGGGCTGCCGATGAGAGTTCGGGCTATGCTCGAGAAAGGGATTTGATGGCGTTTTTTAGGACCCGCATGGGGATTCAGTGGGTTGTACTGTATTGTTTGTCCAATTTGATACTTAATGTTTATTGGTGCAAATTGTTGTGGTATCATGTGAGATGGTATCTTGAGTTTAATTGATGTTGTTCCTTATTTTTTGAAAAAAAAAAAAAAAAAACTCCTGAAGTTAGTTGGTGTGTGTGTTTCATTGTTTATTTGTTTCACCTTCTTTACCAAAAGACTAAATAGTGACAATTGAAAATTTCTTGGTTTCATTGTTTCTTGGTTTCGTCCAGCCTAGAACAATGTTTACAGTATTTTTTATT